TGTCACGAATCCGGTCTATGAACTTCCGTCTGCTTGCCACCAGAGGTCACCCTTCCACTACTATGAACTCTTGCCCCACACCACTGTTGCACTTCACCCGGACTACAGTTCCCATCATCCATTGCACTGATTACACACACACAGTTGATTGCACACAGCAATGATTGCACACAGCTGTCACCAATCACACCTTCCCTATATAACACTCACTCTGATCCCTGTCAAGCTGCCGAGTATTGTTTAGCGCATATCACTCTTCTAGCGATAGCTGCATTACGGAGCCCTTCCTAGTTCTAGTTCTAGTACTAGTCTAGCTACTTCGTGTTGCCTTGTTGTCTGTTTCCTGATCTTCTGCCTGTGTTTATTGGATTACCCCTCTTGTCAAGCCCTCTGGATTCTGTTCGACGATCGAAGACCCACGCTAGCCCTAGGAATACTCTTGTATCTTGCCCTCAACATATCTGTTTGCTGGTGTTCAACCCTGCCTGTTTCTGACCATGTCTTTGAATAAAGCCTTGCATATGGATCCGCAAGTCTCATGTCTCGTTCGCCCCGTAACATCATCCTCCAGAAATCATTTGAATATGCTAATATGCCTTCACTATTTTTTATCAACGTTGAAAACTATTGTGCTGCTGCATAGATATCTAAGGAATAGGAAAACAGAAATCTTTTGTAACATACATATCTTTACTTTCACCTCTGATCAATTTAATGTGTCCTCGAAATTCGAAATATTAATATCTTCAAGAAAGAAAAAACATACTTCCCCCAATTTCATGACCAGCAAGCAATATTTATAGCCAGTAAATGTTCACAATTAAACTACTTTTTGGCAGAAGTGGCAAAAAGTTAATTTTGGACCATAAAAATTACACAACCAGTAAAGAAAATGGCAAAACAATGAGAAATAAAACAGCTTAACTGCAGGCACAAGAGAAAGGCACTTGCAAACAAAGTGCTTATTGACTGGCGTCCTTGAGTGAGTACCAGATACAGAAGCGCAGTCATTGGCAGAGCTGTAGACATGACTATTGCTCAGGAACGTTAAGTCATTAAAATAAGACCAACAGAAACAAATGAATGGACGGTTTAATGAACATAGAGGTGCTGGGAGGGGAACAGCCTGAAA